TGGGAGTTGAAGTCCACTCATCTTAAAGTGGCCAAGTTTGGACAACACTGTCCTATGGTGTTTTATAATTGCCCAAGCTCACACATTGCACCGTGGTTCATTTTAACTAGCACTACTATATCTGGCTTCCTCACCCTAAGGCAGGGATGGGATACATGTGAGTGAATAGGCTTTGCTGTTTGCAGGGGGCAGGATTCATTGGGAGGGGCGATGATCCAAGTTGGGTGGGTGGGATTGTCAGGGCTTCATTTCTTTCCCTGTTACTTGGAAGCAAATTTTCTTGGCTTTTAAAAAATGATGTCCTGCAGATTTGACATCCAATAGCAGAAAACCCAGGCTGTTAATTTTTGCCCAGAGGGTAGACTCGATTGCTCACACCTGCATTAAACATGAATGATGATGTGGGTTCAGACATCACGTTAACTTCCATCCAACAAACCAAATTGTGGCTTTGTGGGGTGTATGGAGGCAGGCAGAGGCGTCAGAAAGCTGTCTTGTCTGGATCGTTTTGGTGGCCAGGGTTCTTGCACCTTCAGGATCTGCATGACAGAGATGCAGGAGACGTATACATTATTTAGATGTGAGGTGGAGAATGGGACTTCAGATCTCCTCTGTGTGTCATTGCTATGCCTGTTGGCAAGATTCTCACTACATTCCTTGGAAGTGTGGCCAGAGAGGAAGGAAGCTGGGTTGATTATCACCCACAAGGCCATAGATTCCTTGTCCCATCTTAGGGGTTCAGAAGATCTCACCCCCTTTTTATACCAGTGCCTGAGCAACCTACTTTTGAGGCTTGGCAAAATCTATATTCATGCTACAGTTCACAGCTGGAATGAGCTCTGCTAGGGTCGCCAACTCATGAGATCCAGCATCTGATGTTCCTCAAAGTAATCTGAGCAAGAAGGGGGGGGGCACTACTGTTTCCTCTGGGAGGTGCCAATCCTCTTGTCAGCGCTCACAGCCAGGTCTAATCCCCAAGTAGGAGCATGTGGCACATTTCCCATCCCCAAAGTCCTGCCAGCTTTCACCCCTGTTCCTCTGCCTTTAACCCCAGTGGGATCTTCAGATTGCAGCCTCAGAGGATCCCATGGAAGTCAAGGCACCCGAGCAAAGCAGACTGTTTCTCCCCATCTCCATCAGTTGGCAATGCTCACTCCTGGCAGAAGTGATGTGATTTGGGGAGCCGCAGGCTGGTAGACACAGGGAAGTTCTGCCTGAGCCCTTGGAAAGTATCTGAACGGTGGAGCAGAACCAGGGAGTTTCCTGCCGTGGGTGCTCTGAGCCTTTCTCCATTTTCAAGCACGCCAATTATTTAATTAGAATTCTTGGTCTTAAAATAAACAAGCTGGCTGGTTATCAGCACACATGCACACATACTGGCAGGAAAGGCGAGAGCAGGAGGAGGAGGAGGAGGAGGAGGAGGAGGAGGAGGAGGAAGAGACGGTGATATTTTTAGGAGTGCTTTGTATCTACTGCTCGTCTTCCAGCCTATGGATTTGGAAAACGTTTAACCGTTTTAATGGCTCACATAACCTTCCATTTAAAATGTGCGCCATGTTTAAAACTCATTAAGATGTGCTTTGCTGAACCGTGATTTACTAACTAAATGGTGGATGGCTGGATTGGCGGCACGTACTAAGCCCTGAATTATGGTTTGCAAACCAAGGTGCATGGGTCTGTAGAGTAAGTCACAGAACAAGTTACGGTGTAATATGTTCCAGGATCCCAGCCACAAAGTTAGAATGCTAAGTTGGTTTGTTGAATGTCATAATGGCCCAGTTTCAACAACATACTAAACTGTAAACTATGTTTACAATGACTAGGTTCACAAAAAAGGCTAACCTATAATATAATTTATTTAAGTTGGACTTAAAATGTTGCACGAATTTGACCTTTGCAGTTTGAAAAACCTGGCTTACAGCTTTGTATGCTCTGTGAACAAAATTGTAGCTTAACCAATAAACCATCGTTAAAGAAAGCATGACTGAAAAGATATGTGAAACCAGCCAGCCATCCTGATTCAATTCACACATCATACGAAGCTTATCTGGGTGTAGGTTGCTGGAGAGGATGTGTTCTGGTCTTTTG